GGATTCTTCTTGAAGTGTTGGGCACATATCGGTTGGATGGCCTACCAATGAACAAATTCCACAAGCTTTTGCTATTTGCACATTACCTATAACCATTCGACAAATAGGAGTAGTTAGACTCGCAAGTTGTTGTTCAATGGATGACACATTTACCTCATTAACATATTTCGATGACATGTCGAATCTAGTTCTGAATTGTTGAAAATTGGCAGCCATATTTGCAATTAAGTTCCTTGAACTATCAAGAAAATTCAAAAATATGACAAACCAGTTAAAAAAAATAGAATAAGAAAAACAAATAAAATTTTATGCTAAAATCGATCATGCTAGTTGTACATCGAAAGTTACATCGGGGGTTACAACCCCCTCACATGAGGGATGTGGTCCACTCGAATAAAAAAAATATTATTTCAGTGGGTCTCACCCCTCAAGTGAGGGGGGTGTAACCCTTAATGTACAAACTTTGATATACAAGCATTATTATGTATGCTAAAATTTCTAAAAACAATAAATTACTTAAAAATCTAGAAAATTATGATTTTTTTTTTCAAAAATAAAATAAAATAACTAAAAAAGTACAAAAATAAATTAATACCACTCCCCGGCAACGTTGCAGGCACCCAAAAGTAATATCTTAACCTCCAAAATTAATGTAGTAGTGGAAGTAAGGGTCGATCCCATGAAAAGTATGTAATTCAATATTTTATATTTCGTACAATGATTGGAGGGTTTTGTATGCAAACAATTGTAAATAATTTAATCAATAACAATGAAAATTAAATTAACGAAAACAATCAAAAGACTAACCTTGGTCTAAGTTCACATCCACCGTCGGAAATCCACGATTGATCATAGATCCAATAAGAATTCAATTCATATTTTGAATATTTATCGTCGGAATTGATTCTTATTTCTCCTTAATTTTAGTTAATTAGAAACCGGTATTCTAATTAACCCTAATTATTAAATAAACTCAAACCAGCTCTCAAGATTCAATTTAATAACAGTTTTACACAATAGAGAAATCGATGAACTAGATAACACAAACACCAGCGGTTGTATTCAATCTATTTAA